ACAACAAACTATGGCTGTTAAAATGGAGGACATATGTGGTGAAAATATCACAAGGCTTCCGAATAGTGTATGTTTCAACAAAAATTTGTTTTCTCAGTACTATGGTTTCAATAATAAAGGACGGGTAGACAATACACAGACAGAGGGCAGCTATTCTGAGTTTAAAAATGAACAAGTTACTGAATTGGTGGATTGACACAATAAAGAGCAGCCAGACAAATCATCTGTTTATAAAAATGTGATAAAACCCCGGAAGACAGAAACGGTCAGCATTTGTATTAGCCAGACACACAGATGACATAGTGACTCATATACTGAATATACAACTGTATATGTATGGACGACATAATCCCAGACAGCTGTCACTTCAATCCATGTTGTGCAGAATAAGTTGAACAAAACAAATTAAATTAAAAGGTATTTTCATATAAATTTATGTAAATGCTCTATATGAAATTTTTTCAATTAAATAACAATTTATTTTGCCATGTTCCTAAAAATGGTTTACATATAATACTGCAACCATACAAATCAGTGCAGTCTTGTTTATCAACAGGGGGCAGAGAAGTCGCTTCTAATTAATTAACTCACCTAATATTGCCTGGCACAGTTTAATTAATGGCTATCTGGGTGATTAAAGTGTAATTTCGAAATGTATGATGTCACTACTTATTAATAATACAACCTTCAATTTCAGCATAACAATGATAGAAAAATAAGATGAAATGTTTATTTGTAATAATATCATTTAATTATACGGTATTCTCAGGTGACTTGTATAATGTAAAAACCGTAATAATTATGTTGCCGTGACAAGTACTATTCTCTCTCTATTATTTACACACAAAATTATTACCGGGGGTACCCATAAAGTTATAACGTATGATTATAATGTGGGCATACATGTAGGTATAAAATAGAAAACTAGTTTACCATAACAATACAACTACTATCAATATATGATACGTACATGTAGTGATGTACGTATCTATTATTGTACTAAAAAAAAACAGGAAACCAAACATAGATCCCCGTAGATTTGCATGTAGACCTGATGTTTACTGACTACCCCGGTAGTATAAACGATTCGATTCACTTGAATAATTCATTTGAAACGATAATAACATCAGAATAAAATATAATATAATATATTGATGATGAGTATTTCTTTACCTGATGGCAAGTGACGACGATCGCCAACCAAGCAAATGCGCCTGATATACCTCTGGCTACTGGAGTTTGCAGCCAGATTATCGGGGTGGTTTCAATGGGTTTTGCCGTTGATGTCACATCGTCATCATCCCAAGGCGATCCAGTGGAGGTTGTGTCCATCGAAAGAACCGTAGTCGCTATGATCGAAGCCACAGTTCCCGCCTCACTTGAGGCATTTGATGACGCCATCAAAACTCTGTGTTATACTGCACGAGGACTACTGTTAACGATACATCTACTCAACAGAAATAAAACTGGAAATACTGAAATCTCAAAGAAAATATCTCCACTTCCTCTCGGTCTCTTCCTATCCAAAAATGGCTGACACTCGTGACGTCATTCAACCAATGATTCACGCAGTTTTATACAATTTAGCAATATGGCAGTTTTTAAGACAATCCTTAGCATTGTTTCTCTACTATGTTGATAATAAATATACTTGAAAACTATTATAAACAAAATTCCAATTAATATTCAGCCTACTGCCACACTATTGCAGAATACGTAAATTTACATAAGCTGAATACAATCATTGTTTGGCAACTTAAGGGGTCTCATCTCGCAGCCGCAACATGGACCAGAAGTCCGAATTCTAGTTGAGAAAGAAGAATTTGTTATTATATCGCGACTTCACGATAATATCGTTTGGATCTTCATTGGTATAATGGCTGCAGATAGAAGTAAAGCGGCGATGGCGGCTGCAGCTGCTCGAAGAATAAAATCGAGAGGTATTTTACTGTGCAAAACGACGCTAGTGGCATACCCTGTACATCACTTGTAAACACAGTCAGTACCATCTTAGACCATTGTGGCCAGTAGAAGCCGGGGGGGTGGGGGTGGTGGGGGGTTCTCTGAATGAAATACGCAAGCTGAAGTAAAAAATCGCGTAAAAAGGGGTGTTAATTAATTATATGACGCGTATACTGTGTTTAACTTAGAACATATAAATATTAAAAGTTTGAAAATAGGAATCTCATGAATTCAAGGTACCTTAACTTGGAAACAGTATGATTTCAGTATGTACCGTAGATAAGGTATCTATTTTAAGTTTCTGCACTTGAAAAGGGGTATCATTTCAAAATAATAAGTACGTGTTTAGAGGCTTTTTTGATCAGCACAGGGAACCCAGGAACTATGATCAACTGTACGATCAACTGTACGCAGTCTCTATGAGGGGGGAGGTATTTCTTATCTAGTGTAAGAAATAGACAAGGGATGAAGGCTCCAGCCAGCTCACATTTTTTAAACTCGAAAAAACAGACGAAAAGAATGAAAAATAAAATCTATAAAAAAAATACTAGCTTGAACAATATTAGTTGCTCTTTCAAACTTTGCCAAAAACTTACTTTTATTTTACCTGTATCAAATTGACTCCATTTAAGAATAATTAACGGTTGCCCTGAAAGCATGGCATAGTTGG